ATGGCAGCAGAGAGAGCACGTGTGTCACCTCCTGCCCTTCTCTGGACGGATCCCGCCAGGCCGCCTGGAAAAGCCCATGCCATCATGGGTGCCTTCAGTGTTAGGGTCCAGAAGGCCATCTCGCCCCGTGGCTCCTTCCTGGCCTGGAGCTCCTTCTGACCACACTGCACGGCTGGTGGCGATGTGTCTCAGCTGAGCCGCTCAGGGGTCCGTATCCCTCCAGAGACTCTGGTTTCTTCGCCTGCGAGATGCAATCCATCATTTGTTTATTGAAACATGTGTTCAACCCTGTTGTGTCCCAGACCCACTTTATTTCCTTTTCCCCCCACTCAGCCACCTCTTTTACAGATGAGGAAATGTAACCTCCGGGAGGTGAAAACCAGATCCTAAGAGTCGTATGTGAGTCCAGGAAGCTCACTATCCAGTTAGGGAAACAGGCAGGGAGCAAACCACACAGATGCAACGTGTGCAGGGCTCTCAGGGACTGAGGAAGCCAGAGAGACTGAATCTGCGGGGGGCAGTGTGGGGGCATGTGACCCATATCTTTGGGGTGAGTAGAAGACAGGGCGGGCAGCGGTGACAGCCCTAGCGAAGGCAGGTGATGTGACACTCCAGTGTGGCCCAACATGACCCAGGAAAGGCAGTGGGACCAACAGGCAGACAGGGTTCCTAATCTTGACTGCAGTCCTGGGGTGCACGGATACCCTAAAGGGGCCCACAAATCCCCCGAGGTTGTATCATCATCGTGAGTCTGTGGGTGTTATTTTCCGGAGAGACACACTTTGTTTTCATCAGGTTTTTAAACTGGGACATAGGCTCCGAAAAGCATGGAATAGCCAAGGAGCTTGGAGAGGTGAGCAGGGCCAGGGAGTGAAGGGGCTCCAGACACTGCATATCTAACACGCTCCCAGGCAGGGCGGCGATGTTGGACCACGTCAGGATGAACAGAGACAGAGAAAACCCCCAACTTCCTGCCCACGTCCTACTCTATCTGGCCCTCGCCCAGCAATCCCACGTCGTCTCCAGCCCCTGCTCCCTCTCCATGCACCGTGGCCGCACGGGCCCTCGTTCTGTTCCTGGAGCTGCCAGGCGGCTCCTGCCCCAGGGCCTTTGGGCATGGGGTTCCCGTTGCCCAGAACGCTCCTTTCGGAGAGCATGGCTTGTTGCTTTTCTTTATTCAGGTCTTAGTTCCATGATCCAAGAGCACTTCTCAGATCGCTTCATTGAACGAAGCACCTTATCTCTAAGGAACTTGCTGTCACTATTTGCTTTTCCCCCTTCATGGTACTTCCTGTGTTGACTTGTTAACCTTCTGTCTCCGCTCTCGTGTTGGTTACCATGATGAAGGACCTGGTTTCCTTCACGCTGGGCCTATCCATCCCAGAGCCTGGTACGTAGGCACCCTTTTCATGTTTGTGAAGCATGAAATGTGAACACCAACATGCTTGCATGGCTACTGTGGTGTTGAGACACATGCAGGGGAGTCTGCCCTGGGAAAATGTAGAGCCATGACACTGGAGGTACCGGAGGCAGAGGGGAGGGAGGAGGGAAGGAGCCAACTTTCTGTGCCGAAGAAAGTCCTAAGAACCTGGAGCTGGAGTGGAAGCTAAGAATCAACACACAATAGATGAATTCATTTAACTGGAAGAGACTCACTCTGGAAGGTGGGAAGGGAAGGAACGAACATTAATTCAATGAAGTCAGGTATGTGGAAAAGTGCCTGGTGCATAGTAGGTATTTATCAAATAAATAAAAAGAAATAGGTTAACTCTTAGGGTTGTGACCATCACTTTGCATAATTGTCTCTATTCATCCTCAGACATATATGCTCCCACTTGCCCATGAGGAGAGGGGCTGAGCTTGGAAGACTTGTCCAAGCTCAGACAGTGGCTCAGGGACAGAGCTGAGCATCCCAGTCCCTCAGACAGCTCTGTTGAAAGTTGCAGTCACTGCATTGCCTGTCCCTTTTCCCCACAGCACCTGTCACCACCTAACATCCAGCATATTCTATTTATTTGCTTATGTTCTGCCTTCTCATTCCAGAATATAAATCCCTGGTTCTGTTCAATACTCTTTCTCAGAGCCCAGAACACAGAGGCCTGCCCCAAAAGCAGACACTTAAATAATGTTAAAAGGATGAAGGAAGGATTTTTTCAAAACACCTTTGCTTTCTGCATTTCTAGGTCAGCGGTCGGCAAACTCACTAGCCAACAGAGCCAAATATCAACAGGACAACGATTGCAATTTCTGCTGAGAGCCACATTTTTTAAACTTAAACTTCTTCTAACACCACTTCTTCAACATAGACTCGCCCAGGCCGTGGTATTTTGTGGAAGAGCCACACTCAAGGGGCCAAAGAGCCGCATGTGGCTCGCGAGCTGCAGTTTGCCGACCACAGCCCTAGGAGGCAGTTCTGTAAATGTGTGGCTGAAGGGAAACCCAAACCCAGCCGAGAAGACTGGAGTGCATCTGAGATCGACCGGGAAGGAAAGCTGTGGCTCACTGACCGCTTGCAACAAATCCGAAGTAAGACTGTGTCCCCAGCAGAGGCGCCGGCGGCATGGAGCCTGGTGGGAGAGCAGCCATGGAGCCTGGTGGGAGAGCAGCCAGGGAGCTGGGGTTTGTCCAGTCTCCAGCGCTGACACCACTGCCATGGTGGCATTGTAGGTGTGGACTCCACAGGCTGGCAGTTGTCTTCCCACATAAAGTGGCCTTGGGGGGGGGGGGAGGAGATGTGTTGACCAGGTCCCCTGTGGCAATTGCAAACTTGATGCACACACATGAATTGGCACTTAATCAGGACATCTCCTGTGAATTGAGTTAGAGTGAATCAGTCGCTCGAGCCTGGCAGCTCTGGCTACTGAACACATGAAGGTTCCAGACCAGCCAGGCTGCTCTAAGGACCTTCCTACCCGGCCCCCCACTGTGCCAAGGCTTCTTACCGATCCGCCCCCTGACCTGCAGCATTAGTATTGCTTGAGCCCTTGTTAGAACACAAAATCTCCAGCCTTGTCCTCAATGGACTGAGGGGGTCTGTATGAGGGAGCCCTGTGGAAGATTTGATCCACTGCCAAGTCTGAGAACCACTGTCAAGCAGTTTCTCTTTCAGGGCAGTGACTACTCTGCTGCATGAGGGTGGGGTGGGGTTAAGGGAACAGTCAGGATTGCGGGGGAAGGGAGAGCGTCATAGATACAGCACAGAGAGGCCTGTGACAAATTGAGTGCTGATTGGATTAGTTATTCTTGTGAGAAGGTTCAGGATTTGGGGAGGAACTGGGAAGGAAGATCCTTGCGTTTCAGAAAATGTCCAGAGGAGGGGTTGGTTTGCAAAAGCACATTTTAAAGTTATCATGGTTTTGTTTTACAGACCCAATGTTTTTTTCAAAATTGCAAATGATATTGAAGGAAGGGGCAATGTAAACTGTCAGCCAGTACTGACTATATTTTATGTACTAGTTTCGGTGGAAATAGAATGCTGAGACCCTACTTCCTGGCCAATCCTATTCTGGGGGGGGGGCGGGGGGGGGGGGGGAAGGATGCAGACAGAGGGAACCTATTAAACTGGCCCAAAAGATGGCAGAAACAAACTTGGGAAATGGGTTGCATAACTTTATGGAGCTCTTATAGTGTGCCAGGCACTGTATTTGGCTCTCTGAGAGGATACGAAGATAACGTAGCCAGCTGCTTGGGCAGCCAAGGAGCTTACAAGAGAGAATATTCAGAGGACAGAGATTTCAGAGATTTCCTCTGGTTGGCAGATGTTGGATGCGCGGGACCTTTGACCAGCGTCTTGGTTTTTTTTTTTTTTTTTTTTTTTTTTTTTTTTTTTTTTTTTTTTTTAGTTTAGCCAGCTAAACGGAGCACATTCGAAGTGGTAGGCGCTCCGGAGGGGTGAGGGAGGGTTTGAATGCTGGAGGCACAGAAAGGCACCCGTCCAGTAGCCGTACTGTGCCCGTGCCTCCTGCTTCATGGAAGCCTAGGAGACAGGTACGGTTATCACCCCTGCTTTACTGATGCGGAAACTCAGACACGGGGAAGAGAGCTCACTTTGCCCAAAGTCACACAGCCAGGCTGCACTGGAGACTGAATTTGAAACCAGGCATTGGCTCTAGCTCCCAAGGGCAGGACAGACAAATCAATGTGCCGCCCCAAGCGTCTGGGCTATGGGCTGGTTAGGGGGGACACCTATTTTGGTGGGTGAAAAGGGTCCAGAAGAAAGCCCTTCCTCCTTCCTTTCTTCATGCCTGAGCATTTATTTCCTTTGGCATGGAGACAATCCAGAGTCCAGTTCTTGACGAACCTGCTACAGGACAAGCACTTTAGGCCCCTTCCCACTAGATGGCGGCCCCTAAAGCCCACATAGAAATTCTGGAACCTCCACCACGGTCCCCATCTTTTAGGTTTTGGCCGCGGCTAAGGAATGGCAGGATGCAAAACCTCCTCGGTTTCAAGGGGCACCCGGCCCCTGCCCCGCCCCATCCGGGGGTCGCGGGAAGCCCCTGGACTGGAGGCCGGCGCGGGGGACAGGGATGGGCGGGGAGACGAGGCTCCCAGGCTCTGGGCGCCCGGGGGAGGAGGAGCCAGCGCGGAGCCACTCCCGGAACACGGAGCAGGTCGCTCCCCGCAGCGCCTGCATCCGCGGCGGAATGACCACCCGGCTCCGGGCGTAGGGCTCGCCGCGGGCGGGTACCTTCCGGAGGCGCAGGTGCGCGGAGCGGACTACAAGTCCCAGCATGCCCCGCCGCCCTGACCCGGCCCCTGCTGCCACTTAAAGGCTCCGGGAGCCGCAGCCGTCGGGTCGCCGCGGCTTTCGCTTTGCCGCCGCCGCCGCTGCAGGGCGGGCGGGAGCAGCCGGCTCCGTCGCCGGCTCTACTCGCGTCCCTTCTCCGGCAGCGCCAAGGGGCGCCCCTCGTGCAACCCTCCCGGCCCGGGGATCCCCTTCCGCGCCCGCGCCCCCCGGGTCCCCCGCCTCAGCCACCCCGCGGCCCCGATGCCGAGGCATGGATAGAGCGGCGCGGCGCGCGGCGGCGATGGGGGAGAAGAAGGAGGGCGGCGGCGCGGGGGACGCGGCGGCCGCCGAGGGGGGCGCCGGAGCCGCGGCCAGCCGGGCGCTGCAGCAGTGCGGGCAGCTCCAGAAGCTCATCGACATCTCCATCGGCAGCCTGCGCGGGCTGCGCACCAAGTGCGCCGTGTCCAACGACCTCACCCAGCAGGAGATCCGGACCCTGGAGGTAACGCGGCCGCGGCGCGGGGCGGGGGTTCGGGGACCCGGGCTGGGCCCGAGAAGGCGGGGGTCAGCGGCCCCGGGAGCGGTCCCCAAGACTCCCCCTCCTCCCTCTCCGTGCTCCTAGTCACTCCTTTCCTTGGTTGCATCCTTGAACCCGGGTCGCCTGGTTTGAGGCTTCCTCTCCTTCCTCCATTCGGTGATGCGGCAGGTTGAGGACCCCAGACCAGCCAGCCCCTCACCTTGGGCGCGGGCATTGAGGAGGGAGGGTGGGGTGGGAACTGAGGTGGAGGCTCAGGGAGCCGGTGGGTGGGGTGGGCTGCGCGGACACCCCCTGCCTCCTCACCTCCGCCCCCTACCCCATTTGCAGCTTGCAGGGCCGCAGGACTCATCCTCCCACTGAGTCACACGCTGGACTTTTCCCTGTGTGACTGAGCCCTGCAGCCGTGGGCTGGGGTGACGGGTGACGGGGCCGGGGTGGGGTTGGGGGGTGTCCCCCTGAAGTGTGAGCAGAGCCCGGGGCTCTGTCATCTCGTCCCTTCCTTCCCTCTCCTCCAGGTTCTTGGGTGCCGCCTTTCAAAAAAGTGTTTGCTGAAACTGCATTTTCTTCTCTTCAGGCATTTGGTACTTTCCACAGCTCAGAGTGTAATTACCCACCGGCTCCCCCCCAAACCCTGGATTTTGGTTTAGGGAAGGATTATGCTGGGGAACAAGCCTCTGGCGAGAAGATGACACTATGTAAGGGCCTCTGGTGGAGACAGCCTCCCGTGTAAAGAAGAAATAAGATATGCCTGTTCTCCTCTCACATGATAGCTGGGAAGTGCAGTATTCAAAGGATTTGGAAGAAGGGTTGCTGGGTTCTGAGAAAGGGGAGTCACCCCCTGCCCCCACGTACCCTCATACACAATAGAGGGAAACGGGTGTATCCCCACTTGCTTTTGTCCAGAGGCAGTGGAATCCAGAGACCAGTGAATAGCTAACTCCGACTGGAAGAAGGAGCTCCACCTTGCATTGCCACATCTGGCCTTCTGCAGATCTGGGGATGTTTTGTTTTATTAGAATCTTAATTTCTCATCCGCCCCCCTCCTTCCCCACCCCTCCCCTTATTGCTCATTGCCTCCGCCAGCTGTCATAGGGCCAGCGGTGATTTGTTGTAATTATTACAAGACCCAATCCTCTGTGCACACCATAAACCGGAATCCCTGTTTGATCCAAAAATGCTCGGCGGAGACTTCCCTCCTTCAGCTTTATTTTCTTAAAAGCTATAAAACCAGGGATGTCAGAAGCACGCACACGCACTCAGTGCTGGCTATTAGAATTTTTGGTACAGTTGCTATTGCAGCACTGACCAGGGTTTTGTTTAAAAAAAAACAACCAACCAACCGACAACACCCCACACAACTGTCCCTTCTGCGGGCTTGCTGCTGTTTTCCGAGTGGTGAGGGCTGCTGGTTTGTGTTTTTGCCCAGGAAAGTTCAGTTTTTAAACCGACACAAATAGGGGGCCCATGTGGCTTAGTCCCGGGAGAGGAGGGGTCCTTGCCCAGCAGTCTATGTTGCGATGGGAGAATGTTCTCTGCACTGGCCTCTCTCGGATTGTCCTCCTGTTGCTCTGAAGTGCTCCCGGTTCACAGAGTGGATCCTGGAGAGCCATTCGCTGTCCGTTCTCTGGAAATGGCGCTCTGCCTTCATGGTACCCTGACTTCCAGGGTCACTCGTTTTAACCGAGGTGTGGCATCGGGACACCCCCAGAGCAGCCAGCTGTTTGGGTCTCTTGAGCTGGTTTACTCAGTGGCCTTCCTCCTGAGGGTTTTTTGGATGGTCCATTCAGGCGGCCAGAAACCCATCCTAAGGCCCGAAAAGGGATTTGCAGGGTGAACTGGAACCAATACCCAGCTCTCCGTACTCTCCATGGTCTTATGGATTCAGGTCCACACTTCTCCATGGAAAGGCGGGACTCAGACTGTTTTGGGGGGTGGGGATTTAGACCCCCAGCAGCTAGTTTGGTGGAATCACTTCGCCCAAAGGCCTCATCCTCACCTAAACAGGGAGGCCAGACTGGGTCTCGGTGCCCTCCTGTGGTTTAAGGAAGGGGCCAGTGGGGTTGAGTCAGCGTTTATTATACAAACCCCTGTTTTAAGAATATCCCTGTTTAATAAACAAAAGACCAAACTCAGATACAGACAACAGAACGGTGGATGCCAGAGAGGAAGGGGGTGGGGGTTGGGGGGAGGTCAAAGAGGGCAAAAGGGGGTCAAATACAAGGTGACACTTGGGTAGTGAGCACGTAATATGCAGATTATAAAGTACACCTGAAATTTATGTTTTTAACCAATAAATATTACCCCATTATATTTAATTAAAATAAAAGACTAACAAGAAAAAAACCCAAAGCAAAAAAAATATTATTTTCTGCTTAAAGATGGTTCTAAAGTCCAGATTTACTAAACTGATGAAATAGAGGGCAAGTTTATGACTCTGAGAACCCTGACCGGGGCAGTGTGGCCAGGGGAAGAGCCCGTGGCTTCTGTGGCCAGTCTGAGCTCTGTTTGTGTGGCCTTGGGCAAGTCCCACGACTTCTGACTCTCAGGCTTCCTTATCTGCAAAATGGGCACCAGACTGCTGAAAGCCGCAGTGTTGTTGTGAGTCTGTAAGTCCACACTCTTTCTACTGGGAGATTCTGTTTATAGACTTTTCCCAGTGCGGGCCCAGTGGCGTTCAAACCACAGGTTCTCTTTAAGGGAAGCTACTTCTTCTTCTTCTTTTTTAATATTTTATTGATTTTTTTACAGAGAGGAAGAGAGAGGGATAGAGAGTTAGAAACATCGATGAGAGAGAGTCATCGATTAGCTGCCTCTTGCACCACTCCTACTGGGGATGTGCCCGTAACCAAGATATTATACATACCCTTGACTGGAATCGAACCTGGGGCCTTTCAGTCCGCAGGCCGATGCTCTATCCACTGAGCCAAACCGGTCTCGGTAGGAATCTACTTCTATAACCGGCTCTTACGTCCCAGCGGTGGCAGGTGACACAGGCTAGGAAACCCTCCCCGCAGCCTGCGGTGAGTCCCACGGGACGGTGGTGATGTCCACCCTGGTTTTCTTTCCTGCTCTGCAGTCCCCCTCGTACCAGAGACAGTGCTTGCGACACTGGATTCCTGGCTTTTGGAAAAGGGCCTGACTGGAGGTTGGCTTTCGCAACCGCACCAGACTTCTCCCGGAATCTTAGGAACTCCGGCCCGTCCTGGTCCTCACTAAAAATGAGTGTTCCGTGGGAGAAACAGCGAGTGTGATGGCCTTGGGGGTCCCTGATGCCGGCTGGCTGGACCTAGCTGCCGCCGCCTGAGGTTGCAGACCGTGCTGGCGTGTGGGGGTCCGTGTGTCCAGCTGCCTGGGACGACTGTCTCCGTATAGTGTCCAGTTTGGGTCCGAAAGAGTGGAAGGAAGCAAGGTTTAATGTTTGCCTCCTACCTGCCCAGCCGGTGCGCTGAATCCTTCTCCGTCTGATGAGATTTCTTGTAATTCCACTAATGCTTGTCACACACAGTTTTCCTCTACGTGAGGAGGGGCGGGAGAGGGAAGCTGAGCCCAGAGCCTGACTCTGTAAACAGCGGTTGTGAGGCTGCTTCATCCCCGGGAGCCTGTGTCCCATCTCCAGCAGACCCTCCTCGAGGTCTGAAGGACCCACCGAGGCAAGATAGAGTGTTTTCATTCCTCAGAGGTGCTCACAGAGAGACTGCCAGCCGGCCTGCCAGCGAGGCCTGGAGCCCGCACCGGTTCATTCCCTCATGTATTCCTCCTGTCTGGGCCGAGTCTGGGCTGGGCGCTGGAGAGACAGTGGCACCCCACGGAGATGCATGCTTTGTGGACGCTGCAAACGTTGCGCTTTCCTCCCAGCCTACTAGTTCTTCCCGGAGTCAGGCCTCGCACACGGAGTCTCCCCACCTCTGCTCTTCTGGAGAAAAATCCCCCCTCAGTAGGCTGGCTGACCTGGAGAAAGGGCCCCCAGAGGCCTTTCCCATTGGCTTTGCTGGGGAGGGGACATGGTGGAGCTGGCGGTTTCCCTGGGGGCCCTGCTGCTACCGGAAGGATCAGGGAGGCCTGACCTTCACTCAGCTCTGCTGTGGCCGCGGTCAGACCCCTGCTGCGCGGAGGGCCCGAGCTCTTCCTGTGGCCCCTCCCCCTGTTCCCCAATCGCCCGGAAAGGGAAAGGGATGCCAACTGTCCCCACAGATCAGGTCGTCGGGGCAGTCATGTGATGTATTCGCTCCACAAACCTTCAGTTATTTCTGATTTGCCTGCTGAGCTCCTAGTGACAGCGACCCTGGCAAGGATTCCGAGGAAGGTAGGATGCTCTCCAGGTCTTTGGGGGACACTTTTAGTCTAATGGGGGAGCCAGCCAGGCAAGCAGTAGCACCTCCAGTGCCCTGGCTTGCCAAGAGTGCTTAGGAATTGGGAATGTGACTGAACGGTTGGCCAGACGGATCTCCTGGTGTGTTTTTTAGAGACAGTGGAAAGGATGGGAGAGACAGAGAGAAACATTGATGTGAGGGAGACACATCGATTGGCTGCCTCCCACATGCGCCCTGACGAGGGCCAGGGATCGAGCCTGCAAACAAGGCACGTGCCCTTGACCGGAATCGAACCCAGGACCCGTTCTGCTGCAGGCCGATGATGCTCTACCCACTTAGCCAAACCGACCAGGGCGTGACCTCCCGGTTTTAATGAGGAATATTTCCAGTCTTGATAGTGACTTGTCCCAAGTCCCAGTTCCCTGTCAGAACTGAGAGTGAAACCTGGTTTCCCTTTCCCCACCCAGCCACTGCTTGGAGTACGGCCTTTCTCTGCTTCCGCGCCATCACCGTAGTTGTAACTGCCCGCTGGAGGTTTTAACTCCTGCAGTCCCCGAAGAGGTGCAGAGCTGGGCGCTGTCCCCTTTGGTGTCAGCTTTCGCCTTGGCAACTTTTTCCTCGATGAAACTTGCCACCAGCATACCTTGGAGGTTG